CCCCAAAACCCCAAAACCCCAAAACCCCAAAACCCCAAAACCCCAGCCCATATTAGTCGAATTGAAATCATACTAAGTTTTCTGGTTGGATTCTGTCTTTTTAGTAATTTCTAATTAGAAATTATCAAAATTATCCAAAATGAAGAGTCTTTCCTTTCAACTTGCAAGGGTACATGTCGATCTGGTTAGAATTTGATTGTGAGGATCAGCATAACAGTTTCATGGACATATATTTGGCTGCAACTTTTTGCTTAAATTGGTATATCTGATTTGTACCGTTGAGAGCGTTCTTCTCAAGGTAACAGTAAACTATAAGCGAAGATTAGTGGCTAAAATTCAGATAAAATAAGATGGAATGCAGTTAAAACAGCTTAAGGGAACCTTAAGCACACTTGAAAGCATCTAATTTGATTTTTTCCCTACAACTTCTGCACGAAATCTATTTATAACTACTCTGTAAGAGGGCAAGAATAAGATCTCAGTGAATTTTTCAATGGCTTACTTAATGGAATTGAGTAAAACCTCTTGACGCCCATTGCCTTATTTTATTGCGCTCTTCTGAGACAGATCGAACTCTATCACAGTGAAACCCTTAGTTTCTGTATCCTTGTGCAGGATAGGCAAGCCTGAATCCTCAACATCTTCAGGGGTTTTGAAATTGTCAAATATTTTGGTCGAACTTTGGAATCTTTTGTTCCGAACTTCTGAGGCTGAAAATCACAGAAGTAGGTTATCAGCATAGTACGAGAATCCTTGATTCTTCAAATTAACCTCGAATGTTGTAGGCACCTTAAATAAAGGGGTTTCTTTATCACTCATTGTCTGTAAATACGGAGTCTTGATCTCTTTTGAGCCAGGAGTGAGCTCAAATTCTGTCTTAAGTGTCTGACAGTACTTGTTATCTACTCCAAAAGTAGGCACAGAGAGGTAGAATTGAACATGATTGTTATTTACTCTTATTCGACGAAAATACATAACCCCCATAAATGTTAGAAGTGTTTGAGCCAAATATGTTATGGAATCCGTACCACATGTTGCTACCAATTATCCCTGAATCAGTGTAGAAGGCTTGTGGTTTGAGGTCAGTTTCTTTTTCATCTTCAAAATCACAGATTGCTTGTTTGTACACTGCTCCGATATCTTCATAGACCGGTAGATCAGAAGTAGTGTATCAGCTGGTGATATTAAGTTCCTCGATAAGCTTCTCAAATAACAAATAATTCTCTTTTTGAACAAGTCCCTTGATCCTGCTGTTTAGTGGGAAGAAAATTACTACTATTTCTCCGAGAGTGAAGAATTCAAGGATCACATTAAGGATCTCATCGTCCTCAAATATTAGTTCTGAAGAGATTTTTCCAGTTAATTTTTCGAAAGATATACCAGCCTCAAGACTCTGATCTGTTTCTATTTGTTCTTTTGTACTTGCATGACCTCCTTCCTCTGAAATCTGTTTTTTAAGAACCCCTTCCGAAGCCTCCTGATCTTCTGAAGTCTTTTGAATTTTGCTTTCTTCCTTTGAAATTTGTTCCATTGTAATTTTTTATCAAAAATTTATTATTTATTAGATTTTTTATCTTTCAATTGATCCCAAGCCAATGGGGTTTTGGGGTTTTGGGGTTTTGGGGTTTTGGGG